GAGTGCAGAGATGCGTGACACTGAGGCTGCCCACAGCACCCAACGTGGCCGCGCCTCCCTGGCCAGGGGCCCAGGGCCTGCACCCATGGGGCTTTGCTGTGAGTAACTTCCAGGAGGGAAGCGACAGATCATGTGTCTCCTTGGAAAATGGCAAGAAGCGAGAGAGAGTGCTCAGGTGAAACGTGAAGAGCCGTGCTGTGTTCTCATGGCAAGAAGCGAGAGAGAGTGCTCAGGTGAAACGTGAAGAGCCGTGCTGTGTTCTCACACGCATCGGGAACGCCACGCTGCTCTCAGCAGGACATGCGTGAGAAAGGCAGCCCCAAACACAAACACTCCTGAATTCTTACACGCGGGTTTGGGGAAGATCTCGAGACATACTCCTGCATGAAGGGCACAGGTCTGTGATAGCGCAACTTACATGAAATAGCGATGTCAGTAACAGCAGAGACGGGGGCTGCTCTTGTCTCTGCCTGGCATCAGACACACCGTAAGGCCTGTCTCTACTGCGGGTGTGCATGAGTGGTGAGTGAACAGGGACAGAGAAGCGAAGGGCCCCCTGCACCTGAACACAGCCACACGCTGCATAACAACGTTTTGGTCAAGGACGGACCGCATACATGACAGTGGTCCCATAAGATTGCGGTGGCTGTACCATACAGCCTAGGTGTGCAGCAGGTGCACCGTCTCAGAGTGTAAGGACACTATGACACTTGCACGGTGACGAAATCGCCTAATGATGCCTTTCTCAGCACGCATCCCCACTGTTAAGTGATGCATGACTGTGCTATGTGTATACACATCCTACATCATGAGAGGAGAGCTATCGGGCTGTCTGGCCAGTCAGCTCACTCGGTAGAGCGCAGTGCTGGTGCACATAACACCAAGGTCAAGGGTTTGAATCGCCATACCAGCCAGCTGCCAAAAAAAGATGAGATCTATTATGTTCAGCACATACCGAATATAACACACGCAGTATGAACTTGTGAATGTTCTGGGAGTACAAAACATTCTAGAAAGACTTCAATTAAAAAACACTCAACAAGCTAGAACTTAGCCTTTGGCATCTGAAGGGCTAGTGTCCATCCCACAGTCTCCAGGTAGCCACCAAGCGCTCAAGCACGGGCTACTTTGGTCACAT